CGGTTTTAGATAAGGATTTTAAGAGAAAATACGATTCTAGGTGAAGATTTGGTGAAAAAATACAGTTTTAGATAAGGATTTGTCCCCTGGTAACTCAGTGATAAGTCTGCTGGCTTAAGTCCCTAAAAATCGGGTTTCGATCCCCGTATGGAAAACACAGATAGCCTATTGTGTTGCTTTGTAATTGACAGGTAAGGATTTGGAAAGAAAATACGGTTCTAGGTGGGGATCTAACGAAAAAGTACAGTTCTAGATGGAGTTTTGATAAGAATGGTTGTATACATGATCAAGTTTTACTGTAAGTGGTATAACTACAATTATATAAAATCTGTAATAATTTATCGTTGATAAGAATGGTTGTATACATGATCAAGTTTTACTGTATGTGGTATAACTACAAATATGGTTGTATACATGATCAAGTTTTACTGTAAGTTGTATAACTACAAATATATAAAATCTGTAATAATTTATCGTTGATAAGAATGGTTGTATACATAATCAAGTTTTACTGTAAGTGATATAACTACAAATATGGTTGTATACATGATCAAGTTTTACTGTAAGTGGTATAACTACAAATATATAAAATCTGTAATAATTTATCGTTGATAAGAATGGTTGTATACATGATCAAGTTTTACTGTATGTGGTATGCTGAGATCAACCCCCACATATATATATATGGGGATTATTTCCATTACATGCGATCCTTATTTTTCCTAGGTGCGACAGGTCAGCCTAACTGATATCGGTTGTCAAACACGTCATGTTGTATAATGTTATAACATATAGACCTAATCTAGTCCTTTCTATTGTTGCCAGTCTTTCAAAATTAACCAATTTCTCTTCTTATTCGCTGTTATTTATATACCGGACATTGTATTTCTCCATTTTGAGTCTATATCGATGTTTTTCAATCTCACCCATCAAGTTGCCACATTTTCCCACTGTTGTTTACGTGCACTGACCACTATTGGCTTGACCTATTCCACTACTATGTGACAAATTCTACCTCACCGTCCTTCCTAATTAACTAATATCGACTTGGACAGTTTATCTAAAGAAATTGGCGGGAAGATTGGATGCTTAATTAGAGTTGTTCTAGTAATCGTGTGTTGTTATTTTACTGCCCTGAATGTTGAGGTGTTGTTCATGCTACACGCATGCGCATTATGGACAAATGGCGTGTATTTGGCAGCACATCATCCCCGTCACTGTGTGTAGTTTGTGGTACCATTTTATCCATCTGTATGCTTACAAAGTTTAAGGTAATAACATTCTTTTGTTCTTCTAAATTACGCTTCGTTAGACACAGCATTAGCGCCTGTATAAACGTTTTACCTGTAGTACACACCTGTTATTTTCAATCTTTAAAATATGTAACTTACTAACAGTAACCAGAGGATAATTTACACTGTTAAAAAAGTGCCTTTTTAGTAGTAGCTAGAGGATAACTTTAACTGTTAAAAAATGTGCATTATTAACGGTAGCTAGATGACCAGCACTTTAGTTCAAACGGCAGAGTGCTCGTTTGGCGTGCGATAAGTAATAGATTCGATCCCCACAGTCGTAGCTATTGCAAATGGACGACAGAATTAAAGCAGATAAATAAACATTCACCTAATGATACTCTGTCTTGCACCAGGATTTCAGATTTGCACGAAAGAAAATTTGCAATCTTCAAAATTTTGATATGACAGTGAATAAAGTGAGAGACAACACTAACTTTGTTGTGTCTGTTTGTTCTTCGCGGATTTTATGTTTACATAGATGTGCACGTTTATGTATCTAGAATTTACTCTTCCACACGTATGTCTATATAAATGTGTACGTTTACGTATCTAGGATTTCCCCTCTTCCACACGTATGTCTATATAAATGTGTATGTTTACGTTTCTGGGATTTCCCCTCTTCCACACGTATGTCTATATAAATGTGTATGTTTACGTTTCTGGGATTTCCCCTCTTCCACACGTATGTCTATATAAATGTGTATGTTTACCTATCTGGGATTTCCCTCTTCCACACGTATGTCTATATAAATGTGTACGTTTACGTATCTGGAATTTCCCTCTTCCACACGTATTTCTATATAAATGTATACGTTTACATATCTGGGATTTCCCTCTTCCACACATATGTCTATATAAATGTGTATGTTTACGTATCTGGGATTTCCCTCTTCCACACGTATGTCTATATAAATGTGTACGTTTACGTATCTGGGATTTCCCTCTTCCACACGTATGTCTATATAAATGTGTACGTTTACGTATCTGGCATTTCCCTCTTCCACACGTATGTCTATATAAATGTGTACGTTTACGTATCTGGGATTTCCCTCTTCCACACGTATGTCTATATAAATGTGTACGTTTATGTATCTGGGATTTCCCTCTTCCACACATATATCTATATAAATGTGTATGTTTACGTATCTGGGATTTCCCTCTTCCACACGTATTTCTATATAAATGTGTATGTTTACGTATCTGGGATTTCCCTCTTCCACACATATGTCTATATAAATGTGTACGTTTACGTATCTGGGATTTCCCTCTTCCACACACATATGTCTATATAAATGTGTACGTTTACGTATCTGGAATTTCCCTCTTCCACACGTATGTCTATATAAATGTGGACGTTTACGTATCTGGGATTTCCCTCT